TGTAAGCTTTTTGGTTGTTGTTTTGGCTTTATAGCAGTTTTTCGTAGGCCTATTCTCATCCTTTGCCAATTCCCATTTTGGTAAATTTTGCTTTCAGGAGCCAAGGCGCTTGCCCCTCCATTGCTATGAAGACAGAAGTGTATTCAACTGAGTCCTATGACTAATGTCTATCATCAGACTTAGTCTCAGTTCACCAGGACAAGGTACGGTGGAATAACTCACTCAGTTGTCATGTTGCAGCTGGAGTGTGGATGATTATGACCATCTTTTCACTTTTAAAAACTATAGGATGGCCCTTTTATGGATAGTTGAGGGATGCAAGAACTCTCTGAGTCTTATTCTTTATCTGTAAATTCACTTGTTGTACTGTAGAAGCACTTCATTTCGTATTAAAGTCTGTGTCGCTAACCAGGACTTGCAGAGAAGAATTATCACATTCAGGACTCATTTGTGGCTCTTCACCATTTGTATCCTCTCCTAACAGTTTTATTTGATATTTATAATTATAAAAAAAAACATAATGGGTATTGTTGCTACAGTTATTATTGTTTTTATCACTACATTACATTTGTATACATGACACTTCATATATGTGACCATAATTGACAAAAGGGCCCTTATGGCGGATTTTAAAATTGATCGTTATAATGGAAAATATCAACCTGTGAGTGCTTTGTTAGACAATCATTGTTTCTAAAAGTTTCATGGTAACTTTTTGCATCCTGTGGAGTAATTTTATGATAAATGGGGCTCAGGAAGTTGGATTTCTTAGGCTAGAAAGACAAATTTCACTACCCGCCATAAGGTACCTTTTGTCAATTATGGTCACATATTTACACATATTTTATAATAAAGAGTATATACATGTACATACACAATGATTTGAAACTGTCTGAACGTTAACAAAGACAACTGTTCTAATTAACATTTATATTAACATTACAACTCCTGTAATAATGAAACCGTTTTACTTCATACTAGACGTCACTATTAAGAGCTAGTTACTTGATGCACAGCTATTACAGCACACTTATGATCCTTGGAGTGATTCTTACATGTGAATAAAGACCAATCCTACCAAAACGGGAATTGAATAAAGACCAAAATTTACTAAAACTGGAATTGGCAAAGGATGAGAATAGGCCTACGAAAAACTGCTATAAAAGCCAAAACAACAACCAAAGAGCTTACAGGAGAAATAAATAGAGTGTGATGAAACAAAAAGAGAGCTCAAAGTAGCTCCTACAATAAGGATGACTTGATAAAAGAGGAAAATGTTCAGCCTGCCTGTTCACCAAAAAATCCGCCATTTTCATCCAGTTGGGAGGTGCGCGTTAATTAGACCGTTCGTTGCATAAGGTCCATTAACAATCGCTGATGTGCATACTCAATAGTGTACATTGTCTAATGGTGGCCAAAATTTAAAGCCAGGCCCATAAGTACTACATGTACCGTATTTCCTTAAATAAAAGCCCGGGCGTCTATTTCCTAAAATGGTATTTGGATCTCGAAAAAAATATATAAAAAATTTAAAAAACTTTAGCCCAGAGCGGGATTCAAACCCATAGCCTCATGCTTTTGACTTCTGGAACTGCAGGCATTATCCACTAGACTACTGAGTCACTCCCAGGGTAGTGTTGCGTATTTATAGTTTAATTGTATTGCTACTCTGGCGTTTATTTGAATGCGGCTTCTATTTAAGGATTTACAGTATATGTAATGCTACTGCTACTACATGGACATTAATATTAATGAGGAATTTTACATGAGTATTTTTTAATGGCAAATAGCATTCTTTGTTTAATTTATTTTTTAGAAATAAAGAGCCAATTGCTGAAGATGCAACACGTTTGAGAAAGTTAAATCAAAGGCTTAAAAAAGTAAAAACCTTCTACTTCTCTCCTATTCCTACTCTCCCCCCCCTCTCTCTCTCAAGGTGTCATGTCCCAGAGAAGATGTTGCTCTACCTTTAGTGTATACTGGTGGATTATCAAAGCCACTCACAATATTGGACTCTTTATCTAACAAAGATAATATATCACTTAGAGAAATAGTGAGTACTGATGAGTACATGTGCCAATGTATTGTGTGCTTACTGGGAAAGAATTTAGTGATACATGTACATGTACTTATGTTGTGTAGAAAGTTTGAGCTAATTCTGATGAATATTGGATTTTTTATGAATTTTAAAATTATGGAGGAAAGCCCCTGTACTATATATTACTAGGTCTTTGGTCAAATTTTGTCTACAAATGATTAGGATAGAGTTTGTCATTTTTATAATTTTTTCTGTTCACATACATGTTCTGATGTTAGAAAGTTTGAGCTAATTTTGGATTTAAAAAATTAGCCAAAGTTGGTCAAAACTGGCTAGGAAAGAATTCTCCGACACGTATACATGTACATGTACTTTGTTACATGGATTTTTTAACCAAACACAATGCCAGAACCCTGTGGGATAGATTCTCATAATTCCATCAAACTCTGTAGTAACTAATGACTACTATTTATTTTTAAATCCAGAGTTGGATGGAGAGTGAATTATCAAAGCTACATAACCAGTTACGAAGGCTTCATACCTCCCTCTCTTTATTACCAAAGTGTACTCCAGTACTACCTACTCTAAAGGAGGTTGATCCTCTTTATAAACTGCTGGACCACTCAAGCATTGAAGTGTCTGGTACAATGGATCTGTTATCAATTGTATCCTTATCACTAGCTATACCTGGGGTGAGTAGAGAGAGAGGGAGAGAGAGAGGGAGAGAGATGGGGGAGAAGGAAAGAGGGAGAGTTAATTGTTTTAGAGTGGTCTTGTGGTTGTATTGCTGATGAATGTGTGATGTTTATGTGATCAGGTGGGCCATGCTTTGAATTTTTCTTGTTTGTACTTGTACTTGAACAAATTGGAATTCTAGGAAGATACCTGTACATGTACTTTTCATGCATTGACTTGGAGTGAACAGGTGGACCATGTCTTAAATTTTTCTTGATACATGCCTGTAGTTGAACAGTAGTAGTTATAGTAGTAGTAGTTGTTGTTGTAGTAGTTTTTCTCAGAATTTTCAGATGTGTACTTGTACAAATCAGTTCTAGGAAGAGCAAGTTCATGTGCATTGATTTGTAATTTTTGTAGCAAACTCCACACAAGTTGACTAATGAGTGCATTACTGACACTGAAATGGCTAAAAAGGAATTATCTTCAGCTAAAGACAAGAAAATAACAAAGGTATACAGTCACAATAATAATAACAACAACAGCAACAACAATAATAAATAAATTATCATTGATAGCACAATTCTATAGACATTATTAGAGACAATACTAAGAACACTTGAAATAATGGAATCAAGACAAGCTGACCAGGTATACTGCAGTATGTGTATTATGATGGATTGCACATCTCTGTTTATGATAAGTTGAAGGTTTAAGAAGCAGAAATGATCAGACAGAAAGAGAGCATGGAAGATTATGTGAAGTACATTGAAGAATTATTTCTTAGCATTAAGTAAGTGTATCGGATAATGTATCAGTTTGGTATGCATGTACTATAGTAGTGGGAGTTATAGCTAATATTAATGAGTACATGTATGTGTTTTTATTTTGTAGGACAAGTCATAAAGAGTTCATGAGGGATTTGTATCATAAGATTGACTTCCCATTAAAAGGTTTGCTGATAGAGTACTCTTTATATGCTATTGATTCATGTATACTTCTAATGTGTATAGCCTATTGCTATAAACCTCATTTATAGATTCACATTGATCTTGAAATAGAGTTAAGTTTTATTCAGCATTTTGTGTGAATCAAAAGATCAGCACTTCATTTATAGTTGTCTTTATGCTGGCCCAGAGTGTCATAATATATTTTGAACTACTTTTATTAAGCCTTTTCCTCTCTCTCTTCAGATCTTACAGCTCATTATTATCATTTAAAGGCCAGCAACAGTTCATTGGAGATATTAGAATCATATATTTATGAAGTGAGAGATAATCAGTCTGATTAGCTATTTCTCCTCCTCTTTCTGTAAACCATAATCCTGATCAAATAGTTAAATGACTTTTGTAGACAGTTAAAGCAAATATCAGAGAAAGACTCAGAGTCATTATTAGGTGAGTATTAGTCATAACTATGACCTATATGCCCTTACTGTTTACTGTATTGGATGTGCATAATTAATATCTTATTGTGTATCTTGATACAGGTGTATTCAGTGAAATGTCATCACAAAGTACAAAGATGAATTAAATCTCATATCACTTCTAAATTAAAATTAAATGATTATTATTAATTGTATATGCACATACAAAAGACTTTAAATGAGAATTTAAAAAATTAATTTTGAGGAATACTTTAATAATTATGGTCACTGCTTTAATAGCCAAAACTATATTAACTAATAATAATAATAAATTATAGATAATTAGCAAAGGATTAAAACAAGTCAACAACTGATCCACGACTATTACTGAGTCTAACTTCAGTAGAAGTGGGTACAATTTCTCTCATTTGTTGATCAACAGATTTATAGGATTCAGTGACATCTTGATCATCTTTATCTTGTTTCTTGAATAACTTCTTAGTTAGAGCATCATAACATTTCATATGTGATAACTGCAGGTAAAGATGATAAACAACAATCAAAATGAAACTAAGAATAAAAACAGATAGACAAGTATTGTACCAAATCAATATTTTACTCTCATCAGTAAAGGCTACAGATAAAGAAGCCATGATGCACAAGTTTAAGAGAAACCAAAATTCAATGACATTGTTTAATTTCTTTTTGTACACACCACCAAAGATAATACTAAGGGAGAGGATAATAGCTGCTACTGCCAATAGCAAGACACGTGATTCATTCTGCAAAAAGGTGACAATTAAAAGTAGTGGTATCCTAGTCACTAGCAGTAGACCAGGCCAGAACCGATACTGATCTTTTATTGGACCACTATAAGCATCAATAATAGGCTTGAAACGACTCCAGCTCTTAAACAGTTTAAAATGTGACAAATACTTCTCAAGTACTGGATGACATAAAAGGAACAGTGTGTATGGTATCACAAGGAAAACAGACACCAATAGGGCAAATCCAAATAGTCCAGCATGCTTCCCTTTACCATATTCAACATTAGGATCCTCGTACCATAAACTAACTGATCTTACTGACTCATTTGTACAGTGAAGAGTTACCTCACACTTGTGTAGTACAATAACAATAGTACGCACTATTTTAGTATATGAGAGAAAAGTAAGTGTAGATAGAACAGGAACAGCATGAGACCCCATCAGTCTTGATATCTTACCATATCTCCTACACAATTGTATAACGATAATGATAATGATCCACAGGTAGAGAGGGAAAGCAAACTGGAGCCATTGTTTAGCATAACTGTCCATACCATTGTAAAAACATGTTTCAAACCCAAAGTCTACGTTAATCCATGATATCACTTGACTCAATACTGGTAATGCTCTTTTCCTCAAAAAGACTGGCTCGTATAACTTGACAATGTTAGCATAAAACAATAGACCATTGAGTGTACCCACTGATACTGTTAGATTGAGAGCAATCAGTAGAACCACAAGTAGTACACCCATCACTGCAAACAGAGCAATCCAAGCTATCATCATGTAATTATTATGACACTGTCCACACTTGTTTGATCCCATTAGTAGACTGTATCCCTCTGTACATGATCCACACATTCTTCCTCCTCTATTATCCACACATTGAGTATCAGTGTTATTCATCTGAAAGGTAACAGGATTAGGAGAGCAATAGAGGAGACAGTCCTCATTGATAATGCATGCATTAGGATTGGTTTCATTAGCATTGAAAGGTGTACTGGTATCATATGTTCCAATCCACAGTAGACCATTGTGTGTAATGTTTTGGCTATCTACATCACATGTCACATTCTCTCTTGGAGCAATGCAATCACAAGCACCTGAACTGTTTACACTGAAACCAATGGGACACTCATTAAGAATAAAATGTGATTGAACTTTGTAAGGATAGTTTATGACCTCTATCATGATTTCATGTCTGGTGTATGTTAGTTTATCTGGTATGTATTCTATCAATGAACAATCATCAGTGATGTATGCATATGCCATTGATACTTGATCAATTTTTATTAATACTGTTCCATTTCTTGGGGTAAACACACCTGTATTTGAAGTGGATACAAACAAAGTGACATTATATTGAAGAGGTTGACCTGAAAATACTTGTTGCTCATATTGTTCATGATTTTGTGACGTCCCATTGCTGTCAGGATCACAAAAAAAGAATCTAACTGGATTGCTTGATACATTAACCTTAGAATTTGTCAAGTTGAAATAATTGAATGAAAAGATAAACCCATATATATCATTTCCAGCTACTCCAGCAGTATTATTCTTTAATGTAAGAGGAATGGAGTTCGAG